TTGTTCTTTCAAGCAAAAATAGTATCGCATGAAAAGGTAGTCAGTTTGGTTTATAGCATAATCTCAGACGTGCTTTGTCTTGTTAACCACAATAGTACAGTTTTTTTTAGAGAAATACTTGATGCATACCTCCTATTTTGTCACACAGAATATTAAATCCAGTGTCATATTTTTAAAAAATTAATGGTTTGGTTCAGAAGTTTTCCTCACCATTGCTTTTGCACCTCCATGCAAATATAAAGTTATACTGTCAGTTCTAACTTTTGTTATTATTTTATTCTCTTTAAAAAATAAAAAAACAAAGTATAAACTACAAAATTTAAACAAGTATTCAGCAATGATTATTTTAACACTGCTTGTTTCTGTTGCCAACCTTCACATAAAAGGTCTTCTTCAAAGACTAATTAATGATGATTCAATATGGTTACAAGCAAAACAGCAAGTCCAGCTATATTGTAGATTGGTCTTTTTGTAAGGAGAGAACATAGTTCAGAAAATGACATATCAATTAAGTCTTCATTTTTTATAGCTAAATCTTTAAATAAAGAAGTCACTGTGCCACTGAGAAAAGGAGGTGTCTTACTTTACTGACTTTTCTTGCAGGAGGTAGTGAACAGTGTCAACTGCCCAAGGCTTCTTCCATGTTCTCCAAGATACTGTGTGCATTTCTCCAGGCAGTGGCAGTACAGTAACTTACTTACCCATAAGATGCTTCTATGGCTGCTTTGTTTGTGGTTTGAAAAGCAGGGGCCGGGGAGATAGCTCAGTAGAGTAAGTGCTTGCCTGGCAAGTGCAAGGGCCTGAATTCAATCCCTGGTTCTGGAAAAAAAAAAGAAAAGCTGTAACAAACAGTTAATAGCTTATATGTCTAAATATTCAGTTCCTTTTCTTATAACTATGAGTGAAAAATCTTAAAATGATGCTACAACTTCGAATGATGAATTGATCTGAAGGTATTCAAAAATGTTCAATGGGGCTGGCCAAATAACTCAGCGGATTAAAGCGCCTACAAGCAGGCGCAGGGCCCTGGGGTTCAATCCCCAGGCCTGCTATGTCCGCCCCACCCCTGGGGTACACTGAGAGTATGGTGGTGCACGCCTGTAATCTCAGCTCTTGGGAGGCTGTAAACAGGCAGATCACTATGAGTCCAGTCTAGTAGTGAGACCTTGAACACCCTGTAGACCCTTTCCTAAAATACAAAACAAAATGTTCAATTGCATAAGACACTATAAGATAAATATAAGGACATATGAAAAGGTCATATTTTCATGTATTTATAATTTTTTCTAGTTTCTTTACAGTAAATCCCTTCCTTTCATGAATCAAAAGCCTCACAGATGCTTTAGTTTCACTTTTTTTTTTTTTGCTACTTCTATAAAAATAGATGTTGGTAGCCTTGATTTGAGAAAGTAAGACTTAGGATCGAACCACAGTCCTTGTGCTTGCCCAAGCTTTCCTAAGCAGGCACTTTAGTCTGCTGGGCTATCTTGCCGGCCCCTTTTTCAACTTTTTGAGACAGGGTCTTGTTATGAAGTGTAGGCTGGCCCTGAACTCACTTTGTAGACCAGGCTGGCCTCAATGATTTGTGTTTCTAAGAGTGAGTTCTTAATGGAGAAGAGCCAGCTAAGCTTCAGCTTCTTTGGAAAGCAGGACACTCCAATGCCTGTTCCCACATACAGTGAAACACAGAACTCCAGCTAAAACTTCACTTTGGAAACCAAAGTAATTCACAGAGCCGCACTGTGCCAAGAGTGGCAACTCATGCAGTCTCCTAAGAAAAAGCATCCCTGAAGTTTGTGTCTTTCCAGCTCATTGTACAGAGAACCACATCATATAATTATAGTTTTTCTTTCAATCATCAAACAGAATTTCAGAGAACTTAAGAAAATCCTATTGTATTTACCTACATATTTTACTCTGTCTTTTCTTCCTTTCAGTTGTTCTAATATTTTTTAATCATTTCCTTTCTATTTATAGAAATTACCATTTGTTTAGAGTAGGCTGCTGAAAAGTTCTCTTTGTTTTGATTCATCTGAGTGTCTCAATTTCCCTTTCCTTCTTGAAGAGCATTTTAACTGGGTATAGAATTCAGGATTGACAGTTTCTTTCCTTCAGCACTTAAAAAAGGACTCTTTTTCTGGCCTCTGTGGTTTTTGATGAGGAAACCATTATAATTTAAATTATTATTTCCGTATGAGTAATTTATCATTTCTCTCTAGCTGCTCTCAAGATTTTTTGTCTATTTTTGTAATATCACTTTTTTCTTTCTCCTCTGTGACTCTGATGATATGAATATTTAATCTTTTTTTTCTGTCCCATAAGACCCTGACACTCAGGCCAGGGGGACAGCTCAGTGGAAGCACTTCCCTGGCAAGTACAAGGGCCTGAGTTCAATCCCCGGTTCCAAAAAAAAAAGACCCTGAAACTCTATTTTTTTTTCTTTTTCAGTCTGTTTTATCTCTACCATCACCATTCTTCTATTTAGCCCATTCAGTAAGATTTTATATTTTGGTTATTGTATTTTTCAGTTCTAAAATTTCCATTTGATTATTTATTATGTTTTGTATCTCTCTGCTAGTATTCTTTTTCATCTTGTTTCTAGTGTGCTTTTAATTGCTCATTGAAATATTTTTATGAGGACTGCCTTAAAGTTTTTATCAGATCATTTTAGCACATGTATCATCTTGGTATTGACATTTATTGATTGTTTTTCTCATTTAACTTGAAACTGTTGGGCCAGGGAGATAGCTCAGTGGAATAAGTGCTTGCCTGGCAAGCACAAGGTCCTGAGTTTGATCCCTGATACCACCAAAAAAGGAAAAAAAATACATTGAAACTGTCATGATTACTGGTATAATGAGTGAATTTTTCTTGGGACCGTAAAATTTGGGGTATGAAAAGACTGGTGACCCTGGGCCGGCCAAATAGGTCAGCAGATTAAACCACCTGCAAGCAGGCACAGGGGCCGGGGTTTGATCCCTGGACCTGCCGTGCTGGCCTGCTCTCGGGTTGCACCGAGACAGCAATTGAGACTGGGCGTGGTGGTACACACCTGTAATCCCTGCTCTTGGGAGGCTGTAAACAGGCGGAGCACTATGAGTCCGATCTAGTAGTGAGACCCTGAACACCCTGTAGACCCTTCCCTAAAGATACAAAAAAAAAAAAAAACCCAGTGACTCTGAACCCTGTGTTCCAACTCTTTGCTCAGCATGGTTCCCTTATTTCAGGCAGGTGCTTAAGCCACTAAGCTTCTCCCTGGCCCTGATTCCCTTATTTCTTTTTTAATTTTATTTATTTATTAGAGAGAGAGAGAGAGAGAGAGAGAGAGAGAGAGAGAGAGAGAGAGAGAGAGAGGCCAGCTCAGCCCACCAGGGGGCAGGGCCGGCTGGCATGTGGTGCTGGGGGATTGAACCGCGGTCCCTGTGCGTTGCTAAGCTTGTTCTAAGTAGGTGCTTTAGACCACTGAGCCATCTCTCCAGCCCCTGATTCCCTTATTTCAAAAGTTGATTTTCCTCTGTTTCTAAGTGATTTAGGTTATTCTCTAGTACAGTGTAAAATAATAGCTAGTCCGGTAGAACTGGTCCCCCATTACCAGAAGTCAGAAGAAAAGAGTTCTTATTCACTAAATACCTTTTGATATTTTTTATGGTATTTTTTTAAAGACAGTCTCAGTATGTAGCCTAGGCTGGCCTCAAACTTGCAATTCTTCTGCTTCAGCCTCCCAAATAATAGGATTACAGGCATGTGCCACTATACCTGGTCCTTTTGGTACCTTTTGAAGTTTTTAACATGTAAACAAATGTTTGTAATCAACACCTAAAACATTAAATAAATTTGTTTATCAGATATAACTACTTCCATTGATCAACTCAAGAAGAGATCATAGTAATGCTATACTATACAAATCGAGCAAATTATATAATCATTGTATGTCTTAGTTTCCTCACCTATAAAATAGAGATTAATGTGAAAATTAAATATTCTGGGCAAAGTAAAATGTTGAGAATAGTGGCTAGCATACAGTAAGCACTCAGTAAATTTTAGGTGTTATTTTTAGTAAGCATTGATACAACTCCTCATTGCCAGAAATCTTACCTCTTGTTCTTCAATGCTGAGACTGTGGTACCCAGCGAATGCCTAAAAGCATAACTGAATATGGCACTGTGTTGGGTGCTTTGTAGATTTAGCATTAACAGCCCTTTTGCAAAAGCCCACAGCTCATGGAATTAAGCATTCCAAGCATATCTAATGAAACATTGTCATCTTCTATGACTGGAGATGTGAGTGAAGACAAATACTAGAGATTGGATGTTCAAGTTTTATATAAATAGACCTTATATAGACTTTATGTAGATAAGGTCATAGTGTCAAACAGTCAGCAAACTACCCTTTGATCATAAAATTCACATACATAGTTTTAAGGAACTCTTTGAGAAAAGAGCTTAACAGCTGTTAAAGGAGCCAGGGAGATAGTTCAGTGGAATAAGCACTTGCCTGGCAAGCACAAGGACCTGAGTTCAATCCCCGGTTCCGCCAAAACAAAACAAAACAACAAAAAAAAAAACAGTTGTTAAGTACCAGTTATACTCCCAGTATATCTATATGTTAGGGTTGTTTTTCATATATTATCTCATACATGTCTGTTAGCAACCCTAAGAGGTAGGCCTTTATCCCCATTTAGCAATGAGAAAAGACTCAGAAAATAACATGACCCAAATCAACTGGTAAAATAGTAGTCAGGACTCAAAATCAAATCTGTCAGATCTCTGGGTTTATCCTCTTTACTTTCAGTGGTACAATGCAGGGTTTTGGTATAAAGAATACACGAGAGAAAAATAAACATTTATTAAATATCTATACTACTACTAGCCAGCCAGTGTGCCACATGCATTAATTTATTTAGTTCTCAAACCATTAATTTTTTTTCTTTTTTGAGACAGGATTTTACTATGCAGCTTATGCTGCCCTTAAACTCACTTTGTAGCCCAAGCTGGCCTCAAACTTGCAGTGATCCTCCTGCCTCAGCCTCCTGAGTGCTGGGATTACAGCTCTGTGTGTCACCCCATTCGGCCTTCAAACCATTCATGTATTCAGTCCTCACAACCACTATGAAAACAAAAAGCATTAACATTTGTTAAGCCCCTGCTGTGTGCCTAACACATTAGTAGAGCTTCTATAAATTACTTTTAGTGGTCTCCTAACAGCCCAGTGAAGCTGGCATTATCCTGACGAGGCAGAAGAAGCTGAGCTGGGCTTTCACAGCACTTGCCTGCCTCCAGGACATGTATTTCTAAATATTTTACAGAGCATACACTCATGATCTTTTTTCAGTCCAGAAACTCAAAAGCCTCTCCAAACAAGTGGTTTTTTAATGTTTTGAATGGTCATGGACTCTTGTAAGAATTTCATGGCTTTTCCTCCCAAATAAGTGCTTATATACACATAGTTTTGAGTACAATTTCAGAGAATCTGGCAATTTCCTAATTCACAATGAACTGTTTGTTTAAAACAAAGAGAAATATGCTCCAAGGAACAGAAGTAAATCTTAGAAAATAAGAAAGCTTATTAATGCTTCATTATTGAGTTTTTAAAATCCTCTAGAACCCTAACACCTGTAACTGACCATTCCATTATGTTTTCCTAGCAGGTGGTAGCTGTGTTTTCTTCTGGCTTTTCAACCCCAGCACTACTGGAATTTCTGATGGGGTGACTGTTAGTTAAGGGGGGTCACCACACTTTGTTACACTATAGTAGGCTTAACAACATCCCTAGCTTCCACATTAGATACCAGTAGCACATCCCTGTGCCCCTCCCTCCAGTTTCAACAACTAAGAATGACTCCAGGCATTGTCAGTATCCCAGAGGCGAGGACAAAATTGCCTCCTGTTGAGAACCACTGGTTTATAGTAATTATAATTATCATGTTTGAGTTATTTATAAACATAAAGATCTCCTGTAAACTATTCAGCTGTATTAAGCCATATGAAAAGCATCTCCTAAATCAATAGCAAAAAAGAATTAAAAATCATCTCCATAATTAAATTTCTAAATAAAGAAGCAAAGTTTTTCTTGCCTAAAACACTAAAAAGGAAGTTTATATAACTCCATGCTGTATTGACTGATGTAACAAGTCATTCAATGACTACTGAATGCTAACAGTACACTTGGGCTACACTGGTGAACAGTATAGATGTGCTGCCACTTCATGGGACTTAAAACCCAGTGAGGAAGGCAGGCTAAAGAACAAGTAAAAATTAAGTTAAAAAATTAAAAACTGCAGTAATTTTATGAAGGAAATACACAGAGACGGAGACAAAGGGATTCAGATAGGGTTACTAGGTAGGCCTCTCTGAATGTGTGACATTTAAGGCCAAAACTCGAGGGCTGAGAGTCAGCCAGGTTAAAAAACATGGAGAACAACTAACTAGAGAGCACATGTTTCAAGCAAAGTAAGCAACCATGTACGGAGATGCTGAAGCAAGAAGGAACTTGGTATCTTCTTTCTACAGAAAGGATGCCACTATAAGCAGGGCTAATAGACGTGGGACAAGACAAGAGGAATGAGGGAACAGACAGGGAGCAGACTCTGTAGGATCTGTAGGCTAAGGAAAGAGCTGGCTCTCATTCTGAATACCCTGAGATATACACACAGGGTATAATAGGGTGTTTTTAATAGGGGATATATATCATAATTTAATGTATATTTTCAAACTATTCTGACCATTGTATGGGGAGTGGGACTACCACATTGATGCCAGCTGACAGACAGTAGTGGAGACAGTGGAGATGGGAAGAATGATATATTGTGATAAATTGACATTTGCTGATGAATTAGATATAGATGGTGAAAGACAGAATAGAATCAAGGTTTCTTACTTGAACAATTAATGGACATGAGTGATTTATTGAAATGTGAAAGAAAGACTAGCTTGGTAAAAGAGGAAGAGATGTTTCTTTCTTGGTCAGTTGAGCCCCAAATTTATATACCTAAGTGGTCATTCAGTAACAATGGAAGTCATTCAGTTGAACAAAGATTTATTAGCCACCAGCTGTATGCTGGACACTGTGGTAAGTGCTGAGGGTCAAAAGAAGTAAAAGACATGTCCTTCTGCTCAAAGAGCTTACAGACCAGTAGACGAGACAGATATAAACAGCTTCAATTAGCTGTGTTCAGGGCTAAGTTAGAGATATATGAAGAGTCTATAATATCACAGAAAAGAGCCAATTAGTCTGGCAGGGTAGGAAAAGGGGCTGGGGGTCAGGAAAGGTATGCTGAAATTGATGTCTGAGATGAGTATTAGCGAGGCAAGCGTGTGACACAAAGAACATAAAGGACATAGCAATAGAAAAGCATGAAGCAGTGAAATGGCATGATACATTGAAGAAACTAGAAGCAATACAGTATCACTAGAACCAAACTTAAAGGCAGAGAATGATAAGAAATGAGACTAGATAAGTAATATTCACAATAACTGGCAATTATTGAGCAGCTATGTGCCAGGCTCCGTGCTAAGTGCCTTATATGGGTAGCTCATTTAATTCTCACAATCATAATACAGATGTGGAAACTGAAACACAAAAAGGTTGGATAGCTTGCCCCAAGTTACATAAGCTGTGATTCAAACGAGGCATTTTTTTTTTCTTTCTACAGCCTGTGCTCTTAACCACGGAAATTTTAAGTGTCGTGCTAAAGAACTGAGAATGTACCTGTTAGCAGAGCTGAGTCATGAGAAGGCAGTGACTGGTCAGATCTGTGCTAATCAGGATGATTTAAAGAGGTTCAACAGGAAATTGTTGCAATGTATCAGGCAAGTGATAAAAAAAGAGTTTGAAGTAGAAATAAAGAAGAAAAGATTTAAGAAATGTTAGGGAGTACAATTAGCACAACTTAATTACTTGTATTCTTGGGGCAAAAGAAAGGGAGAAATCTGAGATGCCACCATATTTTCTCATTTGGATGATGGCATATTACTGTATAAAATATAAGAGGAGAAACACTAAAAGTGTTCATTTGTTTGTTCGAGGCAAGATCTCACTATTCAGTTCAGGCTGGCCTTGAACTGACTATGTGACCCAGGCTGGCCTCCAATTCAATGGTGATCCTCCTGCCTCAGCCTCACTGGTGCTGGGATTACAGATGTGCACTACTGTGCCCAGCAGTCATTTTTATACTGTGTACTGAGTGCCAATGGAACATCCAAGTGAATCCATTCAAAATGTAACATGAGCCAGGCACAGTGGGGTATGCCTGTCATTCCAGCACTCAAGAGGCTGAGACAGAAAGTTCACCACGAGTTTGAGACCAGCCTGGGCTATATAACAACATCCTGTCTCAAAGAAACAAAAAGGTGTAATAAGAGATATCCAGGGGACATGTCATAACTATAATTTTGAGAATTAAGAACTTGTAGAAGATGGTTAAAATCATGAGAGTGTGTGAGATTATCCATGGAATATATGTGAGAGGGCAACCAACCATAAGGCCAATCAGGGTGTCTTGTAGAATTTGAGTGTGTAAGGAACCAACAAAATGAGCTCACAGAGGATACTGAAAGTATTCACAAAAATAAACAGTAAAGCACAATGATTAACATTATGAACTCTAGGCCCAATCTGTGTAAGTTTATATTCTATAGGCTTTGCCACTTAACAGCTGTGTGACTTCAGGCAACTTACTTCCTCTCTCTGTCAACCTCAGTTGTCTGGATGATTAAATAATACATGTAGAGCTCTTAGTGTAATGCTGGATAAACAGTAAGTTTTAGCTAATATTTAGAGAGAGAAATCCAAGGTAGGATGGTAGAATCCAGAATATAAAAATGGGGGCCGGGGAGATGGCTCAGTGGAATAAGCGCTTCCCTGGCAAGCGCAAGGGCCTGAATTCAATCCCTGGTTCCGCAAAAAAAAAAAAAAAAATATATAAAAATGTAAGAAGTGGAGAAAATGCTGAGACGTGCCAGATGCCCCAGAAGGAATTGACCAGCCCAGGGCTTTTGAAGTATAAATTGGATTTGGCAACATGGATGCTATTGGCGGCCTTGGTGAGAGGAATTTCAACAGAGTAACATAGAGAGGTGAGGCAATATTAGTTTCTATGATAAATGCAACATAAGGAAATTGACAACAACATGGCAAGCTCTTTAAAAGAGCTTGCTGTTTAGGAAAAACAATCTCCAATTAAAAAAAGAACTATGTACAACAGTGATCATTTTAGCTTCATCTGTCATCGCAAAATATTGGAACTATCTTCACTGTCCAGGAGTAAAGGGCTAAGAGCTCAGTAGGGGGCTGGAGAAAGTGGTAAATGTTGGACCAGTAATTGAGGAAAACAAAGAGAGAAAGCTGACCAGTACCAATGAAAGGATTATGAAAAATCCTGGAAAATACATCTAAAGGTGGAAAGCATGGTCTGTGATACTAATTCCTCCAGTACTGTACTTTTCTTCAATGATCACAGAACAAAGAAAGCAAATGGGGAGGGGGAGTCACAAAAGGAAAGCTCATACCAGCACTGGAACCCAAGAGTATAAGATAGGGGCCTGGGAGATGGCTCAGTAGAATAAGCACTTCCCTGGCAAGCACAAGGGCCTGAGTTCAATCCCCGGTTCCAAAAAAAAAAAAAAAAAGAGTATAGGATAGTAGAGACAGCACAGTAGAAAGGGCATACTTGAAATCAGACAGACTTTAATTGCAGCTGATAATTAAATAACTTCAGGCAAATTCCTTGAACTCTGTAAATCTCTGTTTCCTCATCTGTACAGTAAGTATAAAAACACCTTGCCCACAGGAAAATGGGCACATGGTCATGCTTCCATAGTGCTTGGTCCCCCTCTTTTCCATTCAGTGTTTATTGAGCTCCTAATGTGGAATGTTCTTTTCTGGGAACACTGAGATAAAGGCCAATTCATCTCATCTTAGGAACTCATGGTTCAGCAGGAAGAACACAAATACAAAGAAATAAAAGACAATACGAAATAGGTAACTTTAAGTACAATAGTAGTAGTATGTGCCATGACTGATTGACTGAAGGCTTCACTGGAAAGCTATCCATGCCTTAGTTTAAAATTATTTATGTTGAAAGAAAGTAGCAAAAAATGCGAAGGCATCATTTTAAGGGGTTATAACAATTCTTTTTTGCTTTTATTTTCCTAGACAGTATTCCAAGGAGCAGGAGGTTCAAGTGAAGGTGTTTGTTTTAAGAATGACTTACGCAGCTTTGCTAACTGAAGAAAAGATTTAATGAAGTCAGAGACATTAAGGTCCAAGAGGAGGTGAAATCTAGCACTCAGATCAGAAGATCTACTTCTAGACCGAATATAAAAAATGTTGGGCCGGCCAAATAGCTCAGCCGATTAAATTGCCTGCAAGCAGGCACAGGGTTCGATCCCCGGACCTGCTGGGCAGGCCCCGCCCCTGGAGCACACTGAGTCGCCAATTGAGACTGGGTGTGATGGTGCACTCCTGTAATCCCAGCCCTTGGGAGGCTGTAAACAGGCATATCACTAGTCTGATCTAGTAGTGAGACCCTGAACACTCCGTAGACCTTTCCCTAAAATACAAAAATAAATAAATAAATAAAAATTTTTAAAAAATGTTTCTCTAAAATGAAAAGAAATGATGAAAAATCAACATAGATCATTTACATCCAAAAGAAGTCAATTTCCAGAAATTACATTCTATGTTTGTGCAATTTTTCTCCATTTGTATAAATCAAGGATACTTTCTTAATACATGCACAATGAATGAATGCAGCCTATTTGAGAAACCAATTCCCATAATGGATAGCACTGCCAATTGTTGGTAAAATGGAAGCAACAACAATAAAGAGCTTCCAAGCCCTTATTTCAGTACAGAAAACTGGGCTGCTGATTGCGCCAACAAAGGACTGTGAAAGGGAGCAGTACCTTCCACTCTCGTGCTTTCACCTTCAGTCTCCACTGGTTACTAGATGAGGCACAGTGCCCATTCCAATCTTCTTTTGTTCCAGTCCACCTCCCCCCACCCACACACACATGCACAATGAAGCAGTTTCCAACCTGAATTTTGCCCACTTCTAAACAGGAGAATTGGCAGCCCACAAGGCAAATGCACTAGTTTGCAGAACTGTTATTGGGTAGGTCCTTCTAGAAATAGCTCACCAAATAAACATTACTGGGTTCAGAGTGTTTGCCTCTTGCTTTGCAGGTTCTTGTCTTGAACAAAGTATTGAACAGAACAAGCAAAAATAGTGATAAAGTTTATGTAAAAAGTATAGGATGAAGGATAAGGGAGAAGTTGGTTCTGCATTGTGAAGTTGGGAGCAAAAGAGGAAAAATATCCCCAGCAAAAGTAAAAGTCCACTCTGAAGGACACAGGGTGGGCTGCATGAGAAAAGGGCATAGTAGCAAGCTCTTCAAGGCATCTGTGACCTTATATTCCATCCACAACTCACAGGAACCCATGAGAGAGAACAACTACATATGAAGCCTGGAAAAGTAGTTCTGTGTAGATTTGGGAATCTCTCCACACCCGTCTTCCCAACCAGTCTAAGTAATGTCCTACTTACTATCTCATTTCCCTGAGAGACACTAATCCCATCGTTCTGTCTGGGCTGCTGAAGGATTGTTCATCTCTGTCTTGTGTAGCTTCTTTGAGCTGGAAGGGGCTGTACAATATACCTACCAGAGATCATGTGTTTCCCCAACTACTTTGGGGTGCTGTGGCTTGCTGGCTGAGTTGGAAGAAAGAAAAACCTGTCAGAAAACAGTAAAAAAAGAATTAGTGACTATTAAGCTGCCTGTTTGACAGAAGAAAGAAACTTTACTATTAGCCTAAATGTGAAGAACAGGTCATATTTCTGTGCTTCCTGTAGAGAAGAAGGTATGTTACAGAGGTATGTCAGATAAACTGTCAAGAGCCTGAAAGCCATAGCCTTAGCAAGATCCTGTTTACTTATATGTAGCAGCACTCGAGTCTCGCTTTTTGAAGAGAAATCTCAAGTCTTCCAGAGGATCACAGGAGTCGCTTCTTTTTCCTGGGTGATGTTGTTCTTCAGATAATTCAGGTGGGACTGGCTTTATTGTAGAAAGATAAACTAAATTATCTGTCTCTGCCATCTTTACTGCAGTGGGTGTGGCAAGGATTACTGAAAAGGGGCCCTCCTGTTTTGGCTTTAATTGGCCAGCAAGTGATCCCCTGGCCAAGTTTTTATGAGCACTGTCTCCAGGGGCAGCAGCTGGCAGGATTCTGTTCCTATACATTTGGGTAGTCTGGGTTTTATGGTACCAGGAATCAAACTTGGGTCCTTGTGCTTGCTAGGTAGGTACTGTGATGCTGAGCTATATCCCCAGCCTCAAGTCATTTTTAGTTTTTGGGGGTTTTTTAAATTTATTTATTTATTTTGTGTGTGTGTGGCCAGCTCAGCCCACCAGGGGGCGGAGCTGGCTGGCATGTGGTGCTGGGGTATTGAACCGCGGTCCCTGTGCTTTGCTTAGCTTAGCTTGTTCTAAGTAGGCGCTTTAGACCACTGAGCCATCTCACCAGCCCCAATTTTTAGTTTTTGTTTTGTTTTGTTTTTTGGTTTTTAGTACTTGGCCCAGATTAATGAGGTATTGTAAGAGTCCTGTGGTTTCTGGATCTACTATCATATCAGAGGATGGAAATGGCCTCCCATATAACATCTCAAATATATTATGAGCCCTCATAAGTGCTGCTGCTAGAAATTAGAGCTAGTACTCAGACATCTGGTAAAGTTTCGGCAGGGCTTGCTTTAGGGTCTGGTTGGCTCTTTTAACCTTTCTATTTTATTTTTATTTTTTGGTGGAACTGGGCATTGAATTTAGGCCCTTGTGATTGCCAGGCAAGCACTTCTTCTACTGAGCCATCTCCCCTGCCCCTCTCTTAACCTTTCCAGAAGACTGAGGACCATTTCCCATGTAGGATTTGTGTGTGTGTGTGTGTGTGTGTGTGTGTGTGTGTGTGTGTGTGTGGCCAGCTCAGCCCACCAGGGGGCGAGGCTGGCTGGCATGTGGTGCTGGGGGATTGAACCGCGGTCCCTGTGCTTTTTTGCTAAGCTTGTTCTAAGTAGGTGCTTTAGACCACTGAGCCATCTCACCAGCCCCATGTAGGATTTTTATAGCTTGTCATTATGTCTCCTAAGGAGGCCCATGATGTTTCTTCAGGAACTGGGAATAGGACTAAGGGCTTTGAGAGGCTACGACGCTGGCCTCCTTTTCCTAGGGAGGCATTACGTGTCTCTAGTGCCCTTCACTGTGCAGGACTGTGATCTACTTGGGAGGTGAAGAAGAAAAAGACGCCTCCTCAGAGGCAGAACAGAAAAACAAGGGTACAGGAGGGCAAGGAAACTCTGCTACTTTAAAAGAAATTAACAGACCTCATTGAGAAAAACAGCAAAACAGCATTTATGGAGCCCTTCCTGTATACCAACTACTTCATTAGTTTTTTTTATAGTTTTTGAATTATGAAGAGAACTAAAACAAATAAAACTGATACAGAATTTCAAAACATGATAGAAAATTAATAATGGTTGTTACATTGCATATTATTAGCTTCAGAGTAGTTGTTCAGATTACCAGATATAGACATGCAAAATTCATCAATTAGGCATTAACGGTTTCTCTCAGTAAACCAATAGAAACCAGTAATACAATTATCTTAGCTATCTTGTGTGTGTATATTTTTTTCTTTCCTTCTTTTTTCCTTTCCCCCACCATACTCATTAAGTGAAATAAATCAGACCAGCATATGTAAACATCCTGTTGTCTCCCAGTGTAAGAAATTGAAAGAGTAACTAAGATTGGAAAGCTGCAATTGATACTGTGGAAAGAAAAGAAACTAGATGTTTTTGTAGACCTTATTTCATTTAACCTCTGTAACAACCTTGTAGAGTATTTACCTACATCTGGCAAAATAAGAAACTGTTTCAAAAAAGGTAATTGTTTGGCCCAGCGTTGCACACCTACTTAGTAAGCAGCAGAGGGAAGTAAGGGAAGATCAACTAAGATCTTTGGACTGAAGGTGAGATCTTTATCACCCCTATTTTGAAACACGGGATTGTTTACCTGTGAGACTCATTTTATAGATGTGCATCCTTTTTCTGTTCCTGAGATGACTTTAGATGGAAGGTTAATTATCATTTAAAACAGAAAGTAGCATTCTTTGTTCACTTTGACCACCCCCTTCTTGTTTCCATGTTTTTTCTCTCAATCCACCAAGCTAATTTTCTAGACCACCTACTTTTTTTTCCTGTATTTTAGGGAAGGGTCTACAGGGTGTTCAGGGACTCACTACTAGATCAGACTCCTGTTTACAGCCTCCCAAGTGCTGGGATTACAGGCGTGTGCCACCACACCCATCGTGCCCTGGGGGGCGAGGCTGTCACAGCAGGCCCTGAGACTGAACCCCCAGCCCCTGTGCCTGCTTGCAGGCACTTTAACCCACTTAGCTATTTGGCCAGCCCCTGAACCACCTACTTTTAATTAACATACATTGTCTATTCTTTCTTGTTTGGTTGGGAGTTTTTTTGTTTTGTTTTGTTTTTTGTCTTTTTGAGACAAGGTCTCGCTATACAGCTCAGGCTGGCCTTGAACTCATTTTGTAGCCCAGGATGGCCTTGAACTCACAATGATCCTCCTGCCTCAGCCTCCCAAGTGCTGAGATTACAGGTGTGCATCACCATGCCTGGCTTTACCCTCTATTCTTTCTAATCATTTGTTAGTGCATTAGTTCAGCCTTTTATTAAATAAATGCTATCTGTTAGCATTCTGCCAGGCATTAGAAAAGCAAAGGTGAAGATTCAGTCTCTATTCTTGAAAGATTCATAACAAGAAGGGAAAAGGGAGCAGACATGGTCATTGGTTTAAATGTTAGTACAGAAGGCAGTAGCAGACTCAGGTTTATAGACTTGCCCTTAGGTAGTTATAGAGGCAGAGAGATATTGAAGAAAAAGAATGCAAAATTATCACTATTAAAGTAAGTTCAAGTGGATATTTAGAATGAGAAAAGAAATTATAATAACTTACAAATTTAAAAGCCTGAAAGATACTATAAACATCATAAAGTCCCAAACAATTGTGACTGCTTCCTAATTTCTGGCTGCATATGCTTTTTTTTTAATGTATTTAGGACAGGGTCTACAGGGTCTCACTACACAGATCAGACTCATAGTGATCCTCATTTTTTCAGCCTCCCAAGTGCTGGGATTACAGGTGTGCGCCACCATGCCCAGTCTCAATCACCATCTCAGCGCGTTCCAGGGGTGGGGCCTGCACAACACACCAGGGATTGAACCCAGGAGGGAAGGTTTATTTAGCTCAGAGTTTGTAGATGTTTCAGTCCATATTCGGCTGGTTCCACAGCAGGGTGACATGGCAGAGGGACAACCTTTCTTGGTGGCAGAAGATACAAAAAGCAACAAGAGCAAAACGGTGGAGGGAGACAAGTCTTATCTAGATTGCTGGCATTAGGGCAGTACCAATCCAATCAGTGGACTGATCCAACAGTCACCCACCCTTAATCTAACCACTCTTAATCCTGTCAATGAACTATAAAACAGTCACAAACTCTTGATTCAGCTACCTCTGGAAAAGTATCATCTAAATGTACATGAGGCTTTGGGAAAACATCTAGACACAAAGCATAACATCTACCTTGCTGCTCAGAAAGTTTTTGCTATTCTAGGTCTCTTCTTATTCCACATAAATATTAGGATTGCTTTCTCTAGTTCTGTGAGGGATGCTATTGGTATTTTGATTGAGATTACATTAAATCTGTATAACACTTTTGTAAGTATAGCCATTTTGAATATATTGGTTCCACCTATCCAGAAACAGGGATATGTTTCCACTTTCTGATGGCCTCTTCAATCTCTTTTTTAAGAGTACTATAGTTTTTATTGCAGAGGTCTTTAACTTCCTTAGCTAGGTTAATTCCTGAGTATTTCATTTTTATTAATGCTATTGGAAAAGGTATTGTTTCCCTAATATCTCTCTCAGTGAATTTATTATTGATACATAGCAATTTTTTTTTACTTTTTCTTTTTGGTATCAGGAATTGAACTTGGGACCTTGCACTTGCCAGGCAGGCACTTGTGCTTGCTGAGCTAAATCCCTGACCCTACACCAATTTTTGAGTATTGACTTTGTATCCTGCTACATTACTGAATTCAGTTATGAATTAAAAGAGTCCTTTAGTAGAGGTTTTGGAATCTTCTGTAAAGAGGATCAACTAATAGTAATTTAACATCTTTCTTTCCTGTCCATATCCTTTTTATTTGTTTCTCTTGGTAATTGCTCTGGCTAATGTTTCAAGAACTATATTGAACAGGAGTAGTGATAGCAGATATCCTTGCCATGGTCTCTTCCTCTTCTTACAATGCCTCCAGTCCTAGTGCTTCCCTAAGACTCTATCTCCTAACACATTCATTTGTCGGTTAGAGCAACATATGAATGTGGGGGCTGCACAATTCAGTCTACAACAGATGAGGTGCGTAAAACATAACTGCACATACACCTGTACTTACTGTCTTATTGCTAGGTAATTTGGGCCACTCAAAACAAAAATTACAATAAATCCTATTTTGTATTCTATTTAAAAATGAAAAATTGTTTTTTTTTGTTTTTGTTTTTAAATTATTTATTTATTTTTATTTATTACATTTATTTATTGTGTGTGGCCAGCTCAGCCCACCAGGGGGCAGGGCTGGCTGGCATGTGGTGCTGGGGGATCGAACCGC